GAGACAGAAAGCGAGAAATCACCCCCCAGGGGGGATGGCCACGCTGCAATCCCTTCTCCTCCATTCTCTTCTCGGGATCTTGGGCATGCACGCACACGCGCCCGGCGTGAGCTTTAAGCCACCGGGTCCGGGACGCGAACCGTGGTCGACTACATGGGAGTCCAGCGACATAGCCATTACACTAATTGCTGGTCCCTCACACAATTTATTATATAATCTAACTACTTTCAATAGCAAGTTCAGCTGGTAATTTCAAGAAAAGCAGTTTTAACTTTAATAAATCAAAGAAATGCTAAGAAACTTTGTCTAAAGCATAAAGCCAAGAAACAGATTAAGAAGAAAAAAAATATTTTTTTTTTTAAAAAAGCAAAAATAAAAAACTGCGTGGCATGCAAGTGCACCGTGCAAAATCACTAGTTCTCAGGAGCCATGGAAGAGTCTTCTTCTGAAGGCCTGCCCCTTGCCTCTCCTGGATGAGTGAGGGAAAGGGGATTACTAGCGAGATAAGGTCAGGGCTAAAAGCAAGAGAATACTTTAAACATTTTTTTAGAGGAAAAATTACAAAAATATGAGAAGACAGATAGAGGCAGAGACAGAGAGAAGGCTAGAGGGGATCCCTACCACTCGAGTTTGTGGGCTGGAGGCTGAATTATCAGTAGAAAGTCTTCACTTCTCTTTTTTCCCTGAAGTCACTAGTTTTCAGGAGCCATGGGGGAGTCTCACAAGGGTTTTCTAAAGGTGTGTGGGACGTTTTGAGCTCCCTCAGATGCTATAGGAAGTGTAAAGATCACACAATGGCAGCCTCTCTCAATATTTCTTCAAGATTTACCGTTCTTTACACACCAGACAACACGAACACGCTGTATGAGCAGGGCCTAATCCGACACGATTTGTTCTCATTCTTCACTCATCACCCTCGTGAGTGAAACTCGAATTTGGTGAACTGCCCCTGGGGTTAGCAATGCGGTCCTTTGCCGACAGACTACAAAAAACAGAACTGCATCCATGTGAGAATCGAGCCTGTGCCCGTGACTCTTCCACAGCTGCTCGGATCCACTGTGCTAACCCTGGAGATTCGGAAACTAAGACGCATCTGAATTGGCCGGGTGGTGTCCCAGCGGCACTCCACACCGGAGGTCCTCACCAGGCTCTCTGACACCCGAACAGCCGCTGCCGGGACTCTCACAGCCAACATTTAAAAATCATCAATCGCACGCTCAAAACAGAGTTCTGGGTGGCTCTGCAGCTGCTGGTGACACTGGCTGCATCCCACGTGGTCTGTGTGGTTCGGGCTCCTGACAAGCAGCTCCAGCGACACACCAGGCACATGTGTATGTGTGCCCAAAACCCCAAAAGGCAGGGAGGCGGAAGGGGAGGGACTGCAGGGTGGCCATCCCCATGGGGGGCGCCTCTCTCCCTCCCTCTCTGGTGAACACACACACCCTCTAACCAAAAAGAAGGTGGGAGAGTTCTGCAGAGCCCAGGGCGCGGAGATGCATGACAGGCCGTGCCTGCCCTCAGGGGGCTCCTGTGTATCAGGGAGACAGATACACACACACCCTCCGAGTGTGACAAGCATAGCCCCAGCAAACACCGACACGGCTGCTTGAACACACAGCAGCCAAAGCTGTATTTCCCGCTTTCTCTCCTCACCCGGGGCTCTGCAGCACGGCCATTCTCAGCTCCAAGACCACTCCAGGCTGACTGTGTCTGGCATAAACTGCTATCCTTTGTCCAAGGGCCACTCTGCACTCAAACCTCACCATCTGAGCCCCTGCGGCACCTCAGGAGAGCAGAAGCCACCATGACTCAGAGCAAACACTCTGCTCGCCACTCACAGCCTTCCCCAGGTACCACGGCCTCCACCATGCCATGGCTGTCAGTCGGTTCCCTCCTAACGGCGTGGTGTGCTGCTGGAGGGTCCCTTAAATAAGCACAGCTGCAAATGTAGACCTGGCAGAGGGATCCTAACGAGCACGGGACAGAGAGGAAGCCTGTGAGGTTGAAACCTATGGGCATCCCCCACTGCAGCAGGGGTATAAGGGAGTGATCCGAATACCAGAGGACCAGGAAGCGGACGAGCCCTCAAGGACTGCTGCAACAACAGCCCCGATGGGTGATGGTGACGGCACAAACGTCACACGAGAAGGGAAAGAAACTATTTCATGTAGTCTGACAATTTTGTTGCAAAACTTTCACCTCCCCTAATTCAGCGTCGGGGAACAGCACATGGCAGCAGCGGTATGATCGAGGGTCAGCACATGGCGACGACAGTAACCTCGGCTTTGCTTAACATAAGTGTGTTTACCACCACCTCCCCCTTCCCCAATAACGACCCATTCAAGAACCTTCGAAATGCTGGCCCACCCTTAAGGAGGTTCTCTTCCGGTGGACTTTTCCTGGTAACAATGACCTTAGATAACAAAAAGTGCCCTGTATTACCAAAGCAACCCTATCCTTTTGTTGTCTGAAAAATAGAAGACGCAGCACGATGTTAAACAAGCCTTTCACAAACTACAAGCCGCTCCATCCCCCAATGGGCCCTGCTCATCTCTTCCTCCCCTGCTCCTACTTCAGAAAAACCGCTCCTGAGAGAACATCCAGCCCGTGCACAGGACATAACTAAACCAATTCGTGGTGCCCAGCAGAGACCCGTCAGGACCCAGCTCTGCCTACCTGAGCATCTGCTTCTTGTGATTCTCCACTTCTTGGAGTAAAAGTTGCTTCTCTGACTCTTTGTCTTGCTCTTTAGCCAACTGCTCAAGCTCCTTTAGGAGAAAACAGTTCTGTTAAAACGATTTTAAAGCCAGTACGAAAACAGAAGAGCATGTCCGTGTCTGCAAGGACAGGTGTCAGCACTTGAACCCTTTTTAAACAGAACACCTGCAAATGCCAGAGAGCCTCCTTCCAGATACTACATACAGCTAGTCGGCAAGAAAGTAAGGAAAATCCGCAGGGCCCAGAGATGAGAACTAGGAGCCAAGAGCAGTCAGCCTGCGAGTGACGCGTGGCCGCCTGGGGGAGGCGCTGCTGCTAAGCATGCCTGGAATGAACAGGAAACAGAACGTGTGAGCCTGCTGCCCCCACGCTTGGTATCACGGAAACATCGAACGCTGTACGCTGCCAAAAGCTGACTCTTAATTCCTGCACCTATTTCATTAGAGATTGGTGACAGACAGTTTGAGGGATTTAAAGCTCACTTAGAGAAAGAAAAATGAAGCCCGAGGCTGAGGCTAGGAACAGAATGCAAGAACACCACAAATCCAACAGCCACAAGAAATCTCATCTCAGTGAAAAGATTTAAGAAAATGTTCGTACACCGGCAGAGTGAAACCGTGGACGTGTGTCTTTTTTGTTTTAATGCTTCAGGCTCCAGATAGACGACAGAAAACCAAACAAACTTCCCAGGAAATTTACAACCTCCCTGGAGTTGCCCTCACGCTGATCTGGGCTTCATATTTACCTTTCCTGAGTGATGTGAGAGCCTCCATAAAGAGAAATTACGATAAAAAGTGTTCTCAGACTTGTGATGATCCCAGAAGGCTTGGCAGAAAGTAAATGCAAAATCTTCTGGAGGGATTTGCCCTTCACCCAGGCTGTACATGGACTAAGGTCTGCTGAAGATGAATGTTCACAGTTCAAAATAACCAAACACCAAGGGAACGATCCACCCCCAGGGGAGAGTCAGCAGACACAGCAATCAGTAGCATTAGACCCCCAAGAACTTCAGATAATGGAAATATCAGACAGATTAGAATTATAGATGTCATTACATTGTAAGTCTCAAATCATATTTCCTTTGTTTACAAATGAAAACAAGTTCCAGTTTCGGTCAAATTATTGATCTAAAACTTCAATGTATTAGTTCACTTAGATACTAATTTATTTATATACTAATTTGCACATGCTGGTCTGGAATGAGTATGTATATTCACCATTTCAATAGCTCAGAGCTAACTTCCAGCTTAGGCCCCCAAATACTGCAGAAGTAAGTAGAGGGGGGAGAAAAAAAATCAACGGTGAATAGGAAACTTTTGCAAATGTAATCAGTTACTTGCTTGCATAGTTGTTTGTTTAAAACCTATATTCCCTAGTAGAGTGTAAATTCAATGAAAGTAGAGCTTTGCCTGGCATTACCACTCTGCATACACCTGTGCCTAGCGCATACTGAACAGAAGATGGGTGTGTGGGAACGAGAGAGAGAGAGAGAGAGAGAGAGAGAGAGAGAGGGGGAAGGACAGAGGAGTGAATGATTTTCCTATGAGAGGGTGCCTGGAAGTCCTGCCAGAGAACCAATAATAGCTCTGAAGAGAAGGAAGGAGATAGATGAGTTCCTAAATTCCGCCCTACGAACCCTGTACACGAAGACAGACACACAGACATTTCTGCGTCAATATCCAATACCATGTACAGAACACCATTTGGAGAGTATAAGCCAATTGTCTTCTAGTATCAACACGAGCTTGTTGCTAATCCACAAAAAGGGACATTCATATGAGAAACATCCAACAAATAGAAAGCTTGTATTTACTTCCAGGTAAGCGCTTGGCGGGGCGCAGACTAGAGCTGGGGCAGGGTTACTCATTCACTGACCTTGTATTCACTAGGTCCTTGCGAGGTACCAGGGGCCCAATAAATATGCAAACGTACTGGTCCTGCTGTTTTAGGAAGTGCGAGAAACACTGGGTGAGGTGCAGATACTTACACGAAAGAACAGCAGGTGTGGCTGGAGAGGTGAAGCTATGCTGAGTTGAAGAAAGGATTTTAAGGGAATAAGTTAGCTTTAAAAAATAAAAAATAAGCAGTCTAAATAAATGTTCTTTGACAATTGGCTAAAAAGATTATAGTCATTATAAAAAAAAGGAGATGTCTAGTTGCTGATATGAAAAGATTTCCAATACATAATGTTAAATTGAAAAAAGAAAAACAGGTTTTTTTTAAAGAACTATTTTTTATTTAACTTTATTATTATTATTTTCCAGTTTAATCAGAGAGAGACAGAGAGCAAGAGGGAAAGTGAGAAAGCAAGCCTCCAGGTCCAGGATTTGAACTACAGTTGGCCATGTGAGAGTCCAGCCGTCCAAACTTGTTTTGAGGTGAGCACGTAGTGGTAGTGAAGACACTGGACTACCACAAGGATGACTCTGAGTCCCAGACCCAGTAGCTTGAAAATCATGCCCAGCCTGTATGTGTGTACACGTGTGCCCAAAATTCCAGCAAAAGAATGGAGGAAAAGGGGCTGCGGCATGGCCGTCCCCTCTGGGGGTGATTTCTCACATGGTCTCTCTGGCAAGTTCATGTGCCCTGTGGCAAAACTTAAATGAACAAACAAATCCAGTGTTTTAGTATGTATGCTACCTTTCAGATGAGAAACTAGGATGAATAAGAAAATATATGTCTTTCCTACAGGCTAGAAAAATCTGGAAAGATACATAAGTAACAAATAAAAGTAGTTATTACCCATTTGGAGTAGGAGAACAGAAATGAGTAAGTGGTATTAACTGAGACTTTTCGCTGTGTGTAACACACACACACATGCATGCATACACATACATACACACACACACGTGGAGCCATGCACTACGTAACATGCTATGGCAGTCCCCTAAGATTAAAATGGAGTGGAGGGACTAGCAGTTAGCGTAATGGCTATGTCGCTGGACTCCCATGTAGTTGACCATGGTTCGTGTCCTGGACCCGGTGGCTTAAAACTCACGCTAGAAGCGTGTGCGTGCGTGCCCAAGATCCCGAGAGGAGAATGGAAAAGAAGGGATTGCGGTGTGACCATGCCCCCTGGGGGGTGATTTCTCGTTTTCTGTCTCTCTGTCTCTGTCTGGCGAGCGCACGCGCCCTATAGCAAAAACCCTCTCAAACCCCCCCCCCAAAAAATGGA